TTTTTTTTTTTTTTGTCCAGGAAATTTAACCCAGGGGCGCTTGCTTAATCACTGAGCTATATATACCCCCAACTCTTTTTTATTTTGAGATGGGGGTCTCACTAAGTTGCTGAAGCTGACCTTGAACTTGTGATCCTCCTGTTTCCACCTTCTGAGCCACTGGGGTTATAGGTGTGAGCCACCACACCCAGCTTAAACAGTTAATTTTTCTGACTTTTTTTTTTTTTCTTTAGGGGGGTCAGTGCTGGAGAACTTCTTGCTTGCCAGGCAAGAATTCTACCACTGAACTACATCCCCAACCTGAAAGGTTAAGTTTTTGACAGGGAAATTAAGAGAATTCAGATTCCTTGAAAAAAGAATTTTTTTTTGGTTGTGAGTTTCAAACTCCCTGCCTAATCTCTGTCAATTCCAATGGGAAATGAAATAGCTGGGCAGGAGGGGAGGGGGAGGAGCAAAGGAAATGGTAATCCACAAAGTGGAAAATGAGTTTGAGTTACTGGGCTGTGCAGCAGGGATAATCCTCTGCGTGGAGGGCTGCTTTTTCTAAAGTCAGCCCTGCAAAATTTCCTGGCACTCTGGGAATTAACAAATCAGCGCCACTCAAGATTTATCCTTCCAGAGCTGCTCCTGGTGGGAGACCTTCAGGGAGGGCTTTTTCCCTCCCTCCTCCCTCCCTCCCAGGCTCCCTTCCTCCTTTCCTTCCTTCCTCTTTTGTTTTTATTTTTAACCAAAGATGAAAACACTGCTGTCTCTGTCATCTGAGTTTTGTTCTTAGGATGCAAAAAATGAACTTTTGTTTTTCTTTATTTTCTTATTGTCAATACCATCTTTCTCAGACTTTTGTTTTTTCCATATTTATTTATTTATTTGTGGGGGGGTACTGGGGATTGAATTTAGGGCCATTTGACCTCTAGCCACATCCCCAGCCCTATTTTGTATTTTATTTTTAGAGACCAGATTTCACTGAGTTACTTAACACCTTGTTTTTGCTGAGGCTGGCTTTGAACTCTTGATCTTCCTGCCTCAGCCTCTGGAGCCGGGATTACAGGAGTGCGCCACTGTGCCCAACTTTTTTAAAAAATTTCTTTTAGCTGTAGATGGACACAATAACTTTGTTTTATTTATTTATTTTTCTATGGTGCTAAGGATCCAACCCAGGGCCACACATGCTAGGCAAGTGCTCTACCACTGAGCTACAGCCCCAGTCCTCTCAGAAAGTTTTTTAAAGGCAGGGGTCTTCCCCATGTCCCCCTATACGGGTGTTATCTTGTGTTCCACATTGACACCACTACTTTATTGTGATGCTGATACCACCTGTGCCGGTTACCTTGGTGAGTCCTGCTCCCCCAAATGCTGAAATATAGCATCAGAGAAGCACGCAGACAAGTAGAGAACAGAAAGTAAGACCTCTCCTGGGTGGAAGAAGGGGACCCAAAAGGCAGAATCTGTGGGATGAGGAAATTCCATCCCTTTTGTACATCTAAAGTTTTCTTTATCCTTTTATATTCCTCTCCTTTATCTTGTTCATTCCCTCTCATCCAGTGTATGTAACCGGGGATCTGGTGGGAAGGCCAAAAGGTGAGAAACAGGTGGGCTGGAGGGGCCAGGGAGGAGTCGGTGCCATGAAATGTGGGTTTTGCAGATGTCTCACTGGAGTGGCCTCACTGCAGAGTCAACAAGCAAAGCATCTGACAGAATTTCAAGGGTTTTTTAATTTCTTCCATAGAATTTCTTCCCTTTTTGCCTTTTGCAAAAGCTAACTGGTTATCAATAAGGTGGTGCCACTTGAGATCGAGGCTGTCCCTTACACTCAATGTAAAGGGAATGTCTGTCTCAAACAGGAGAGGGGGCATCTAGTCGGCCCCACTGTTGGTGCTGCTCGTTAAAAAAGAATCACCCTGGGCTTTAGGGAATGACACTTACTGGGAATTCTCTTCCCCATTTTTATTCACTAGGGAAAGATAGTTGGTTTTGAATTAATTACAGATTTCTAAGAGATTTATCACTATGGGGAAAATGTAATATTAAGGTAATTGCAAAACAATGTCTATGCCATTTTCCTCTATGGATGACAGAAAGCATACTAGAAAAAAATGTGGTTTTAATGAAATGTAGCTGAAACTTTCTAGTATTTCAGAGCATTTGGTATTATCAGATATCAGCTTAGATAATGCAGACCGTAGTAGTCCTAGGCTAGATTCTCCAGTGAGTGTAAATTCCGTGTAAGTGATTATTTATCTGTAAAAAGGCAGGTATGCATTTGCTTCTTAAATTTAGGATCTTTTAAAAAATATATTTTTATTAATTATTGATGGACCTTTATTTATTTATATGTGGTGCTGAGAATCGAACCCAGTGCCTCTCACATGCTAGGCAAGCGCTCTGCCACTGAGCCACAACCCCAGCCCTTAAATTTAGGATCTTGACTTTCATTTTTTTCCTTCTTTACATCAAATCAAGGAAGGAAAAAAGCCTTTTTACCTCTACCCCTCTCCTGTTCCACTCACTGGAATAACCAGTGGCGATTAAGAAGCCATCCCACACATAATGCGGTTAGTTAAGTGGTCTAATGTCCCAGTTATCCAGTTAGTGGCAGGCAGTGAGGTGGGGATTTGGTTAGTGGAGTCAAACAGAGAAGGAGTAATCTGATTAGTCAGTTGCCATCTGAGGCTGTTGAATTGAGTGGAGAGCAGTTTTGCTGCCTGAGGTTTAATTTCCAACAGACTGTAGGAATCTGCTGCTTCTAAAAGGTCTACTTTAGAATGCTCAACTAAATACTAGTACTACTAATAATTCAATAATAAAAAAGAAGAAAAAAGGAGTCTTCCCGAATAGATTATACCCTTCCGTTTTTAGACAGTCTCATCGACCCACCCAACTCACTCTCCTTTTTCTTGGCAAATAATAACATCAGAGACAGAAGAGCTATGGATCAGATTTCAAATCATTCCATTTGTTACATCCTTTAGGGCCAATCGAATTCCTTTTCTTCTTTTTTTTTTTTATTTTATATTGGGGAGTTGAACCCAGGGACCCAGGGGTGCTTTACCACTGAGCTACATCCCCAGCCCATTTTTTATTTTTTGAGACAAGGTCTCACAAAGTTGCTTAGGGCCTCACTAAGTCGCTGACAAACTTGCGATCCTCCATCCTCAGCCTCCTGAGTCTCTGGGTTCCAGACATGTTGTGTCACTGCGACCAGCTCCCATTCTGATTTCTTTTTGTGCTTATTTTTATAGCTAGAGGGGCCAGAGGTCTGGGTATGTTCCCGGTGGCCAAGTTCAGCAAATGATTGTTTCCTCTGGTCTACACAGGTAGAGAAGGGACAGTGCACTAAGGGATTTTTTTTTTTTTTTAATGCTGGAAACCAGTGGCCATGATGTTGAGTGTGGAACTGTGCAGGGAGTGAAGAAGTCACCTTGACCTTGTTCCTATTTTTTTAATATGCCCCAGGTACCTGCTCTTCCTCTTTTGGCATCCCTTTTTCTTGTGTGTCTCAAGTCAGGGTATTGGCACCATGGTGCGCGCTCTCCCAGACATTCCAGACTTGGGTCCCTGAGGGTTCTCTAGGGAAGGATGAAGAAGCATAGAAGGGTTTGTGTTTGTCCCCCCTCTTAACCACTTCAGAACAATGCCCATTGTCCTTACCTGTGGGCTGGGATTGGTGCAGATGTTCCCAAAGCAGTAGGCAATTGGTTCTCTTTTGTTCACCTGCTCATATGCTGCCACCTAGTGGTCCCTCCTCCTTTAACACCCTGCATAAAGAGGGGATCTTATGTTCACTTTAATAGCCCCCCCCACTGGTCCCACCCTCAAGGACCTGAATTGTCCCCTTACCTTTTTCCTTTTGTGGTACTGGGATTGAACCTAGGGCCTTGTGCATGCTAGGCAAGTGCTCTACCACTGAGCCACATCCCTAGTCCTCCGTTTTCTTACTTTTTTTTAATCTATCATACACAAAATTATTTTCATTTCTTATTTCTGGGTCAGAAAAATCTGGAAATGAATAGTTGGCATACAATATATTTATATTTTTTCCTGAGAAACTTGGATCCATTGTCTGCTGCCTGGTTTTTCTCCCACAGTGAAGTGCAATTGGAGTTTTGCTCCAGAGCTACAATATGGTCCTTACAGAGGTGAAGAAGGCTTCTGCCAATCCAGGGTTATTCTGAACAGGCAGTTTCAATGATAAAATTCCTATAGTTTCTCAGGTGTCTGTCTTTCAAAATTTCTCATGTAGAGAGACAGGCAACCATATAGCTCATTCCTACTGAGTAGATATTCATGTCAGGCTTTGTTCCGAGCACATTACACATGGTAAATTCTTTCTTCTTACTAATTACTGAATGACCCACTGAGACAGAGCACACCCTTTCTAAGGAGAGGAAATGGGGGCATTAAAGGTCAGGCAACTTACTTGAGAAAGTGTAATAAACAGGGAAGTGGGATTTATTCCCAGCCTGTTTACTCTAGAGTTTATGTTCTTAGCCACTGTTTTTCTGCCTCTTTGGTGCGCAGATAACCTGAGGGCTAGGTACAGGCAACAGAAAAGGGAAACAGAGGCCTGTATTCGCCCTCCTCAAAGCGCCTCCTCAGCCCCTATCTGGGACTTGCTTGATGCTTGCTAACTAACCCAAGGCCTGAGAAGAGCTCTTCAATGTTCTGACTCCCAGGCCTCGCTTCCAGGTTCTGTTTCAGAGATTCAGAACATAAAAAATAAACCAAAATAAAGCAAACAACAACAACAACAACAAAACCACCACCACCACAAAAACCCAAGGAGCCAACCAAAGCAAGTCTGAGACATGACCAGAAACCCAGCAGCCCTGGGTTCCTGAGATGATTCTGCCCTGAAACACAGTTGCAATTACAAGTCTTTTTTTCTGTCTGGGCCTTTGTTTTCTCTCTGGCTGTCCTTTCCCACTTTGTTGGGAGATGACAAGAATGGCCAGAGGTGGCATTTTGATACTATTTCAGAAAGGAATTCAACACCATCACCCTTGGCAAAGAACCAAATCTGAAGTTTATTTGTGGTTTTCAGGCCAGCCAAAACAACTAGCAACTTCCTCCTCCCAAGGGGTTTATCTCTATGGTCCTCTTTGTGTCAATCCTGTGGCAAAGGTAGAAGTGGGTGTGTGGGCTTGTTTAGAGATGGGAGGAGCCATGAGCAGGCGGGTTTAGTAACAGTCCTGATGAACATGCCTCTTCCCAGTTGTCTTACTGGTGGCTCACAGTCACTTCGAGGTGATGGAGAGACTTGGGTTTCTTCAGTGGAGAGAGGAATCCATGTGAGAGTAGGGAATGGGAACACTGGATGGATCTGTTTCTTCATAAAGGCAGGACAGAGAGAAGAATATTTCCTAAAGGGGACAAATACACAAATTTGCTTTTATGGTTCAAAATATAAAAGTATGAATGGGAGTGAAAAGTCTTCCTTCCTTCTCTGACTCACAGATATGCAGTTTCTTTATTCTTGGAGGCAACTCATGTTATTAGTTTCTTTCTCCTTCCAGAAATATTTCATACATATATGAGCAAATAGGCATATATAATTTCTACTCCCTTTTTATACAATGGGGCAAGTTTGGCCTGTCCTGCATTGCAGCGTTTTTTACTTTACCAACATGTATTCCAGAACAGTTTCCTTTTCTTTTTCACTGTTGCATAGTATTCAATTCTCTGACTAGTTCTCTATTGAGCATTTAGGTCACATCCAACCAATTGCTGTTACAAACAAGTAAGCTCCTGTGTGTCATCTGGCATGTATGCAAGGACAGCTGAAGGATAAATTCCTAGAGGTAGAATTGCTGGGGCGAAGAGAATGCAAAGATAAACAATTTAGATTTGACAGGAAAATTCCAAACATTCTGCATTCTCAGCCAGGAAAGTCGTAAAGTCAAACCTTGAGCGACAGGCCTGAGCTGGTGCTTTATGGTCACACAAGGGCATCGGAGAGTGAGATCTATCCTCATGTATTTTCCTAAATGAATTCACTCAACTGCTGCTGCACACTAGAGCCGGCCCTGGTCTGGAAGACTCCAAGGACAGTTTGTATCACTCACTCTGATGTCATCCTTCACCCCTAGCAATGAAGTCGGCTCCCAAATGAAGCCGGAAGATGGAGCTAGTGACATTAAACTGGTCTTGGGTGCCCTCCATCACTCAATTCTTAACAAAACCCACTGTGCACCAAAGTGGCTCCCAATGTGCCCCCACCCAAATCAAGCTTAACTTCCACTGTCTTAAAGCACTGTGGGGGGCTGGGGGTGTGACTCAGTGGCAGAGTGCTTGCCTAGCATGTGTGAGGTCCTGGATTTGGTCCCCAGCACAGCAAAACCAAACCAAAACAAGCTGGGTTTCTTGCTCATAAAACACAAATCTTATTCTTTGTTATATAAACGTTAATTTGACTATTTTTTCATACCAGATTTCTAATCTCGGTTACTCCTATCATAGTGTGTGCACATTTGGGGAAAATGGTGCCCTGGATTTGAGAGCTGGGGATAAAGAAACCTAGATCCATCCTGGTGGCAAGTACTGATTGTCTCTCAATATCTAGTTTCCTTTCTATTTAGTGATGAACTCTCTATTTTGTTTTCTTTCTTTCCATTTTATTTATTTATTTTTTTGGGTGGGGAGGGCAGCCTGTGGAGGGTACCCAGGAGTGCTTTAACACTGAGCTACATTCTCCAACCATTTTCAGTTTTTATTTCGAGGCAGGAGGATCTTTCCAAGTTGCTTAAGGCCTTGCTGAGTTGCTGAGGCTGGCTTTGAACTTGTAATCCTCCTGCCTCAGCCTCCTGAGTTGCTGGGATTACAGCATGCATCACCATGCCAAGCTCAACCCTCTATTTTTAAGCTGGACCCAGGGCTACTTAGAGTAAATTTTTCTTTGTATTGTGATCTATCTATGTATCTATCCACCTGTCTACACATTTCTGGTCAATGGAATGTAAGCAGAAATAGCATGTGTAACATCTCTGTAGTGTTCTCAAAGGAAGAGGATATGCTTTTATTTCACTTTTATCTTTCCTACTGAGTAGAAGGCAGACATGATTGCCGGAGCAGAAGCATCTTTCTTGTCTGTGAAGTAACCTTGGTAATATGACCACTAACAGTGGAGCAAAAAGAGAAGTTACCTAGACCTGGATGCTTTGGATCACTTACCTCCAGGTTTTTACAGAAGAGCAAAATTAATTCCTCTTAATGAAGTCACTGTTATTTTAAAATTTTCACTTGTAGTGGAATCTAAATCCTAAGTGACATACTCCCCAAACTTTGGAAAAAACAATTCCAGACTCATTGTCTTTCACTTGTGACTCAGTAGCATTACTTTGGCAATGAAGAAAAGCACAACACTGACAACTCTCATCTATACAGAGAAACAAAGTCATGACCCACAAACTCTTCTCAACTCAGGGGCAGGCAGTTCACTGGCAATGATTCTGATACCTGGGATTCATCTTTCTTCCATTTCAAAGGCAGAGGTGAGATACTCCTTTGGGACAATTCCAATGAGGCTGTTCAGTTCTCCTACCCACCAGCCGTACATGTTATACTCCTGAAAAATGAAAAGAGGATGGTTACAGGTGAAATTTGGTCATGCCTCTATAAAACTTCTTACAGGGACAGTGTGGGAGACTCCGTTGATGGTTTCTCAGTTGGCATCATCTGTGGGAACAGTTAACATCTTTGAGGGGCAGCCATTTCGTCTGCATTGTAAACTTTGCATCTTTGATGCTATTGCCGAACCTAAAGAGTCCTCCCTTCCCCTTCCCCCAGCAAGCTGAATGGTATGGCTTCTTCAGAGAAAACTGGGCACACACTAAATGCCAGTACACTAAAGATGTTCAGGGAGTCAGGTCACAGTTCAAATCAATACTATTTATCAAGTACTTTCTATGTGCAAAGTGCTATTTGAGTTCCCCTGAGATATTGAATGATGAATCAGAACATTGCTTGCCCCTCAGTGCTCGCAGCATAGAGTAATGGGCTTTGGAGTCAGACAGACTGAGAGCTAATCTCTGCTTGGTCATTTAGTAGCCATGTGACCTTAGATCCTCCTGGCTTTAACTTCCTCATCTATAAGAGAAGGAATAGTATCTCCATCTTTATATGTGATACCAAAAGTGTCTGATATCATAGTAGGTGTTCTAAACATTAGATCCCTTCATTGAAGAGGTAGGAGGTTGACAGTGACATCAGTAATGATGTGCAGGACATGTAAGTGTCACAGGAAGGGGCAAATAAAAAAACGGGCTGAGAACAGGTGTTTCAACTTAGCTGGGTTTGGGGAACCATGCCTTGTCTGGTTTTGTATATCTAGCTGCTGAGTTTCAGGGGGAAAAAAGAAGAAGAAAGAAAAGAAAGAAAACCAGGTTGGTGACATAAAAACTCAGGGCCCCTAGCATTAACTGGTGATCTTTCCTGTCTCCAAGTAGTTATCTTTCCTTCTCCAACTATGTAATTCCCCTCCCTCTCAGCAGATAACCTCTTTTCCACCTTCAAAGACAAAGGAGTCTTGGGGCTGGGGCTGGGGCTGGGGCTCAGCAGTAGAGCATGCTTGCCTAGCATGTGCAAGGTACTGGGTTCGATCCTCAGCACCACATAAAAATAAATGAAATAAAAGCATGTGTCCAACAACAACTAAAAAATATTTTTTTAAAAAAGAGAATGTAGTCTTAAATTTTTTTTTTTTTTTTTGTACTGGGGATTGAACCCAAGGGTGCTAAACAACTGAGCCACATCCATAGCCCTTTTTATATTTTATTTAGAAAACAGGGTCTTGCCAAGTTGCTTAGGGCCTCTCTAAATTGCTGAGGCTGGCCTTGAACTTACAATCCTCCTGCCTCAGCCTCCTGGGCTGCTGGGATTACAGGTATGCACCACTGTACCTGGCTAAAAGTTTCAAATTTGTCAGCCTCCAGCCATGAAAGCAGCAGCGTAACCATATTGACAACCATTCTTTCCCATTTAATGAGGGACGCATCCCCTGGTTTAAGATCATACTTCATCATGTGCATTTGTAACTCTTTCCTTCCCTTTCTTTCCTTCTCTCCTCCCTCCCTCCCTCCCTCCCTTTTTTCTTAGATCTATGGAGTCTGACCTCTGCCTCTAATGTAAATTACTCTTTCCACCATCAGTGAACTGTGTTCAAGATGTGTTTTCATCTTTGAAAACAACTACGTGTCTACTAGTCTATGCCGACTTCCACTTCACAGACCTCCTGGAAGAGTTTACTCCACTCACCGCTCAACTTCTTTCTTTCCAGTCACCCAAGTCACTCTAGTTGGACTCCTGCTTCTGTCACTCCATTTATGCCTTCCCTGTGTCCCCATTGCCTCCTCCTGGTGCAGATTCTCTGGGTACTTCTCAGTCCCTAACACTTGTTCTCAGCCATGCTGGCACCCACTGTTGACCCTCCTTGAGACAACTTCTCTTAGTTTTTGCGATCATTCTCCCAGTTTCCCTCCCTCTTCTCTGGTTGCTTCTTCTCATTCTCATTCATCTTATACTGTCTCCTTTTAATGTGGTTGTTTCCCAGGGTTCTCTCCTGGCCCTCTTCTCTTCTGACTTTCCTTGAGTGATCTCATATACCCCTGGAGTTTAACCACCGTGACTGTGTTGATGGCTAAAGACTGGTTAAAAACTCCAGCCTGCATCTAAGTATTGGACCCCAATATCCAAGTGCATGTCCACCAAACTGCTCAAACTTAACCCATCAGCCTGCCTCTTTCCCCATTTGCATTCCCCAAATCTCTCCACCTCCTGTGCTCTCTCCTTCAATAAATGGTGCCTCCATGCACTCAGTTACCCAGGCCAGAAACCTCAGAATCCTCCCTGACTTCATCTTCCTCTTCCAATCAATCCTTAAGTCCTTTTAATTTTCTCTCCAAATTATTACTGGAATTCTCTCCATTCCCTTTGCCAATACCCCAGATATCACTATCATCTATCATGAGGATCACAGAAACAACCTCCAAATTGCTCTCTGTCTCTCTCTGTGTTCTTATTTTCTTCCACTCTGTTCTTTGTTCTGAAGCCAGAATGCTTCTGAGATGCACACTGATATTGTCGTTGCTCTGTTTGGAACCTTTCAGTGGGTCTCCACTGCCCCTTGTCAACTTATTTTTTTCTCTCTCTATATATTTGGTGTATTATATTTGTGCTCCAAGTTACTCTCACCTTGGAGGCTATCCTCTGCATTTTTAGCCTCTACTTCCCTCCTCCATTTTGAAAGGCTCACTCCTAAGCAGGCTTCAGATTTCAATTGCTGAGTCACTCACTCTCTAGAAGCCTCTCTTGGGCACGCTCTGGCTGTCCCCACCTCCCCACATGGTCCATAGTGCTTCCCCGACATGAGTTCACCACGCCGCCTTGTTTCTTCTGGCCTTTGTCTCAGTGTCAGTCAACAGATGGGAAACTGAGGGCTGGACCTTGTTTTTGTTTGCTGTGTATTGTCAGCACTCAGCCCAGTACCCAGCACAGAGCGGGGTCAAATAAATACCTTTTCCCCCCCAAATAAACACTTTTTAAATGAGGTTATGACAAAGTAAAGGGAGCAATGGGAATTTACATTTTTTAAAAAAATATTTATTTATTTATTTTTCCGTGGACACAACATCTTTGTTTGTATGTGGTGCTGAGGATCGAATCCGGGCTGCACGCATGCCAGGCGAGCGCATTACTGCTTGAGCCACATCCCCAGCCCGGGAATTTACACTCTTGATTGACCAGGTTTAGTTACAACCAACTCCAAGATATTCCCCTAGCGATGGAACTGGTTGTGGCAGAAAGAGATCAACTGCCTTTGGAGACAGTCTACCACAATGGCTCCCTAAATACCAAGAAGAGTCTCAAAGGCCACAGGAAGTGATTCTACTGCATTGATCCTTATAGGACCAGGGAATTGCCTTTTTAAAACCAGTCTTAAAAGACTGAATGTCCACCACCTCTTCCTACACCTACTCCTTCTCATGTCCTCCCTCTTCCAGGCCAACTTCCCCATAGAGTGCCCTGTCTTTGGGCAATTACCCAGCATTCCTCAGCCTATGCCTGTCATGAGCTTTTGAGCTCATGTTGGTACAAATTCTGTTACTGTCCATTTTCTAACACTGAAGTTAGGGCAGTTTCTGCCTAAAGTTTTCTTGTAGAGTTGCCCTGTGTTGACCACATTACTGGAATGTCTGTGTCTGCAGGGCCTTGCTGTGAAAGGAAAATACAGGCTCTGTCTTCCTTTCTCACTGTAACTTCCTTTCTCTTAGAAACTAGTTTTAATTCTGCTATCATAGGCAGAAGGTGGGGACAATGCTATCTGACAGTCCCCCCCCAGGTATTGGTGATTGAATTCAGGAGTGTTTTACCACTGAGTCACATCCCCACCTCTTTTGATTTTATTTTTTAAAAATTTGAGACAGGGTCTCGCTAAGTTGCTAAGTTGCTGAGGCTGACTTCAAACTTGTGATCCTCTTGCCTCAGCCTCCCAAGCTATTGGGATTACAAGTATGTATCACTGTACCTGGCTCTGTCAGTCTTTTGATCAAAGTCAACTTGCATAACCATGTTTGAAGTGTGGCCTTCTACCTGCAAGGTGCTGTCATCTTTATCTTCTGCAGAGGCTCAAATAAGGCACCCGGGGGAGGGAGACTATTCAAGACCCCTGACTTTGACTCACACTTCACAGTTCCCCTTTAACTGTAATGTTCCGGGTAGGGACCAAGCCTGAGGAAGGTTTTCTCTGCCAACTTGAAGAGGGTGCAAAGAAGAAGCAGATGAGGCTCAGCAGGGCACCTGCCAAGGCCAGGCTCCCAGTCAGTTTGCTCTTGCTTGAGGGGAACACTGACCTGCTGACTGCAGATGTAGTAGCCTTGCCACAGTGGTGAGAACTAAAATGAGTGAAATCAACTCTTTGCCCTTCAAAACAAAAGAGCAGGCAGAAGTGTAAGGAGGATGGCACAGTCTCAGAGACCATATCTATCCTGCTGTGGAGGCCTGGGAGCTTAATCAAAGCACCTACAGGTCCTGGGATCTGACTGTCTTTTCCAGATTTCTTCCCTTGGCTGGATACTCGAAAAGGGCTGCAGGGCTGAAATGTTTAAAGCATGAATGGAAAATTTTTAGCCTTCTCTCCCACTACCACCCCCCATGCATTGCTCCAACCCAGTCTGAACACCACGAGGTATTTTAAAATAATTTCTACTTTGATGAATTGCTGGGGAGTCCACAATTGCTCATAATCAAAGGGAGAAAAATGCAAATGAGATCCGGCCGAGAACTATCACCACCAAACGTTTATTTCACTGCACAGTGCCAAAAAGAATTAAAACAACATTAAACTCACAGCAATCATGTTTAAGCCCTCGTTTCCAAGTGCCAAATTGCACCACTCTGGATCATACAGATGTTCGTTAATTATGCTAATTTTTATTAAACTATTAAAATGGAGAGAGTACTGGCTCAGCCAGGCAGACCCCAGCTCTGAATGAACTCTGCTCCTGTCTAGAGGTGCTAATTTACTGCATTTTTATTAAGTTGCTGATTCTTGGATTTGAGTTTTAGGAC